AATTGTCAAGTCAAAAGGGCAAATTGAAAAAATATAAAATGATAGTTATGTTCAATTTTGGAAAGAAGACCCCATTTCGGGACTGATTAAAAAAGAAAGTAAAATAAGTAAAATGGGACGAATTAAAAAGTTTTACAATTTAGTTATAACATATGAATTCATATGCAATTTAAATTTTATATTAAATTTTGAAAATTTCCCACTTAAAATTTTCTTAAAATTTTAAATATTCTCGCGACGGAAAAACGATCGTCGCAAGTTCCATCGCTAAACTCAAACATGAAATATATCATTGCGCCAAATAATGCAACAAAATTAATTTATGTGGCAAATTCCGACGCCATAGCGCGATGGACTTGTAGGGCGTCGCATTTTTTGTGGCCAATGTGTTAACATATTGGCAACAAAATTGATTCCATCGTCTAGAAAAAAAATTTACTTAAAAAATTAAATATTTTAGTTACGGAAAGAACGATCGTCGCAAGTTCAATCGCCAACCTCAAATGTTAAATCTACCTTTGTGCCAAACATTGCAACAAAATTAATTTCCATTGCCATAGCGCGACAGACATGTAGGGCGTCTCATTTTTTTTCTCCAACATGTCAACATATATGCGACAAAATTGATTTTGTCATCTCATTTTATAGCAAAAATAAACTTTATTTCAAAAATTAAATATTTCGGCGACAGAAAAAAAACTCGTCGCAAATTCCGTCGTCAATCCCTTGGCGCAAAGATTACGTGGCAATATTTTTCACTTTGCACCAAATATCGCAACAGAATTTATTCTCGTCGCCGATTCTGTAGCAAAACCACGACGGAACCATCGGTCGTTGCCTTTTTCGTCGCTATTATGGTGACAGAACTTAATTTTGTCGCAAAATCCGTCACCAAAATGTGGGCGCCAAAATTTCTTGGGCATTTTCTCACTTTGCGCCAAAAATCACTACGGAAATATATTCCGTGACCATTTCCGACGCAAAATCACGAAGGAACACATTTCGTCGCAAAAACCGTCACGAACCGACAACGGATTACGTTCCGTCGCGATGATTCCGTCGTGATTCGTGATTTTTCTTGTAGTGTCTGACACTTTGCTTACTCCAATTTGCCATCCTTGAGTTCGATATACGGGGGTTCCACAATCCTCATTTACACTTACACACACATATCCATCCCACTAAAATTAACAAACATCAATTACCCATTCTAAGCTCGTCTCCTTTCGCGTTTCTCTCTACTCATGCTTCTGGTTCAGTTTGGCACAACCGTTTGGGTCATCCACATCAGCATGTCCTTAGTCGTGTTCTTTTGTCCTGTTTGTTATTGGGTCTAGTTATGCTATTCATTGTAATTCTAGTTTATGTTCTACTTGTCAATTGGAAAAATCTGCTTGTTTCCATTTGCCACGTGTTGAGTCTTCTAGTTCGAATATTCTTGATTTAATCTATACTGATATTTGGGGTCCAGCTCCTTTATTGTCATCTAGTGGTTATCGTTATTTTGTTATCTTTGTGGATGATTATTCTCGTTACACTTGGTATTTTCCCATGAAATTAAAATCTGATTTTATGCCATTTTTGATAAATTCCATGCTATGGTAGAGAGTTTCTTTAATCGTAAGATCAAATCCATTCAATTTGATCTTGGTGCTGAATACAAAAAATTGCGCTCTCTTTTCGTCCAGTTAGGAATCAATCATAGACAACCTTGTGCATGTACTCATGAGCAGAATTGTCCTGTTGAAAGAAAGAATAGGCATATTGTTGAAATTGGATTAATTCTCTTGTCTCATGCTTTTGTTTCGTCTAAGTTTGAGGATTTTGCTTTTGAAACTGTTGTTTATTTGATAAATAGAATGCCATCTAGTGTCTTGAAAATAATTTCAATCCTCATCCCTTGTTGTACAAATTCTCTCCATCCTATTCTTTTCTTCGTGTCTTTAGTTGTCTGTGCTATCCTCACTTGAGGCCTTACAATCGTCATAAAATGTCCAACAGATCCTCTCATTGTGTCTTTTTAGGTTATCATGACTCTTTTTGAGGTATAGGTGCATGGACTTACAGACTAATAAGATATATGTTTGCAGGTATATACGGTTTGATGAGGGTGTTTTTCCCTTTGTTACTAAGACTGTTTTGCAGGCACCTCTGGCTCCGCGGACTTTTCCTTGGGCTGAATAAGTTTTTTAGCCGAGCTATGATGACACGTCTGCTGTACCCATCAACTCCATACAGCAGACTTTGTCTGCCCCTTTGGTGGCTATTACATGGGCACGTGGCCATCCACGTGGCCGGTCTATAAAGTCAACCACACGAACTCATGCCATGACCACTAGGAGTCAGTATCATGATTCTCCTACAGTCCTAACTACACAAGTTTGTCCCACTAAGCCCACTTGTTATACATAGAAAATTAAGCACCCTAAGTGGCTTGAGGCAATGGATCAAGAGTTCAATGCTGTACTGTAGAATAAGACTTGGTTCCTTGTTCTTTTTAGAACATATATGAACGTTATTAGTTGTAAGTGGGTCTTTTGCACGAAAAGAAAGGCTGATGGTTCGATTAAGAGGCACAAGGCTAGATTAGTGGGAAAAGGGTTCAATCAAGTCCCTGGTCAAGATTTTTGATACATTCAGCCCAGCGGTAAAACTCACTACTGTCAGGTTACTCATCTCTTTAGCTTCATCCTTTGGTTGGGTTATTAGACAGCTTGATGTTCAAAATGCTTTTTTGAATGATAATTTGACTGAAACTTTGTATACGCGTCAGCCCCCTAGTTACATTGATACTCAGTTCCCTAATCACGTTTGTCTGCTTAAATGTTCCTTGTATGGCTTAAAACAGGTTCCCAAAGTTTGGTTTAATTGCCTACACACGTTTCTACTATCTATTGGGTTTAAGGCGTCAAAGACAGATGTGTCATTATTCCATTATTTGCATGAATCTGCTTTTGTGTTTCTGTTGGTTTATGTTGATGATATACTTGTAATGGGGAGTGATCAGAATCTAGTGAATATTTTACTGTCTAAATTGTCTATTGCATTCAAGATTAGAGATATTGGTGAACCTGTTTTTTTTTTTCTTGGAATTGAAACTGTTAAATGTGATGATGGAATATTTCTCTCTCAGCAAAGGTACATGACATATATTCTAAAATGTGCTGGTATGACAGACTGTAAATTTCTAGCTACTTCTATACTTGATTCGAAATCTGTTCCTTTTAGTGAAAATTTGTATGATGATCCTACTCAGTACATGAGTTTAGCTGGGGCACTACAATACCTCACAGTCACACGGTAGTCCTTTGCAGTTAATCAAATTTGTCAACATATGCATTCTCATACAGTCTCACATTGGGAATAATTGAAACGTATACTGAGGTATGTTAAGGGAACTATTACTTATGGTCTGCGTATAATACAAAAAAAGCCAAAATAGCGACGGACCATTCCCGTCGCTAAACAAGAGAAAATTCGTCGCTAAACTGTTTAGCGACGACATTTATTTCCGTCGCTACACTTAGCGATGGCTATTTCCGTCGCGGAACAAAAATAATCTGTCGCTATATTGTTCACGGCGATGATTTCGACGTCAAACATTGCGACGGAATAATGACGGATATTTTCGTAGCGAACTCTAGCGACGGAATATCTGTCGCTAAGACAAAAAAACATCCGTTGCTAGATGCATACCACGACAATCTTGTGACGAACATTACAACGGACTAGCGACGGATTATTCCGTCGCTAATTATAGTGTCGGACGTGTCCATCGCTAACTTCCGTCGCTAATATGTTACGACGGATATTTGTCGTCGCTAGGTTGTTTTTATTATTTGAATTTTACGCTATTTAGCTACGATTTAGTGTCGGCAATATCCATCGCTAAATTTAACGACGAAATTGTTCCGTAACTATTTTTTACCATTTGATATTTTATATTAAATACTTAGCTACGGATTTACTATAATATTTTTTCCGTTGCTAAATTATAAAAATTTTAAAAAATATATAGCCACTAATTAATACCATACCTGCATTAAACTTAAAATATACTACATCAATAATATAATTGTAAAATATATTATATTTAAACAATCATACTCCATAACAATAAACTACTATATAATGTTATATTGTTTGCAACAATACCACACACTAATAAACATAACTTAATCATCTCCTTCACTTCATCTTGATGACGTTGTGAGGAAGCAGATGAACCACAACTATTGTTGTTGATAAATGAGGATGCCTTAGTCCCTAAGCCATAAATACGTTGTATTTTTACCCCGCCAACGACATCGATATACAGTTGTGACATGTTTATACTTGGTGACTCGGTTGACCCTTCGGCTTCTTGCGTTGCAGCTACACGTCGTGCTTCTATTTCGTCCTAAAATTAACAACATATACAAAAAAAAAAAAGAAGAGAACTATACAAAGGTATATAAAATTTTTATTTATTTAACAATATATGATTGTTACGTTATACTTACTGCGATTCTCTTTGAACTCTCATCAACGAACATACCATTCTTCTTTTTGTGTATTTGCTCGAAACACCCAAACATATTAGGCTCCTTTTGAAGATCATTTTGCTATTAAACAAGCACAAATAATAAAATGATACTTAACTTGTAAAATATATACAAAGAATAAATTTGTAAGTTAAATGTATTACCAGCTTGTGAGCGTGCTCAATAGCTAATCTAGATCCTCCGGTTTGTCGAGAACATCCAGTACCGGGTCCTTCCACCTCACTCATTCTATTTTTGCTGTTTTGATCTGATTTAGCTTTAACGTCTGGCTTATCCCAATATGCCTCCCAAATACGCCATGTTTCTTCAGCTACACAAGTTGGCCTCCCAGTTGATATCAGTTTTTTTTTTTTTTTTTTTTTTTTTTTTTTTTTTTTTAATTTGGCGATCATATCTGCATAGCGTGAGGCTGCTTGTGATAAAAAGGCTTCGTGAATTTGTGTGTCAATGGATGAGTCCCACTTGTAAAATTTCTATAACATTAGAAGTTCGTCAAATTTAAGGTAAACACAATTAGAAATGTCCAGAGCACAATTTAAGTAGCCAACTTAACTATAAATATCCAAAGTACAATTTAAGCTGCAATTTTTCTACATTTAGTTAGTAACATAACAAAACAAGCCTACCTTATTAGTACCTACTGCAGATATCAATTATGCAAGAAACTGCACCATTATGCAGCTTAAATTCACTACAAAAACACATATTCAATCAAAGTTTTCTATCCCAGAAACACCAATCAACAATATTGCAGCCAACTTAAGTATAAACTTGTTTAAACTTCTGCAGCTTAAAGCAAAATTGCACCATTCTGCATCTTAAAGCAAAATTGCACCATTCTGCAGCTTAAAGCAAAATTGCACTATTCTGCAGCTTAAAGCAAAATTGTTTAAACTTCTGCAGCTTAAATTCACCAAAGCACAATTTACCAAAGCACAATTTAAGCACCATTCTGTAGCTTAAATTCACCACAAAAACACATATTCAATCAAAGTTTTCTATTCCAGAAACACCAATCAACAATATTGCAGCCAACTTAACTATAAACTTGTTTAAACTCTGCACCATTCTGCAGCCTAAAGCAAAATTGTTTAAACTTCTGCAGCTTAAATTCACCAAAGCAGAATTTACCAAAGCACAATTTAAGCACCATTTAAGCAGAGGAGATACAGAATCAAAAGCACAATTTAAGCACACCATTCTATAGCTTAAATTCACCACAAAAACATAGATTATCTTTTATCTATCCATTTCTTTAAACTTCTACTGATAAAATATATGGTTAGATGGTGTTCTTGAAGTTTGATTTGCTTAACAACAGAGGAGATGCATAATCTTGGCACTTACATTCAATAAAAGATCTATTACTTGTGCAAGATCAATAGAAAAAGATGGAAAAACAACAGTTTTTTTTCCTCTACAACCAACATTCAAATATTAAAAGTCAGAATTTACCTTCAATTCGTCAAAGTATGTCTCTTTGTACTCATTAGGCACACTCTTCCAATTATATCCATTCGGATGGATCATTTTCATGAATATTTTTGTTATTGTAACTGAACATGGGTGAGAAGGCATCAACCTGTACATATATAAGAGATGAATAAAGATAAAAGTAATATACACATAAATGTTAACATAATATACCACATTTTTACCTCTCAGCCTCTACATGAATAGTAGGCAAATCACAGCCAGTAGATGATCCTGCAACTGATGAAGATGTGGGTGGAGCAGTAGAGTCCGATGGTGATGTAATCGGCAAATCAACTGGTGAACCAATAGAAACAGGGGACACAATTGGTGGAGATACTACAGTAGGAGGAGGTGCTACAATAGGTTCCACAGGAGGTGGTACACCCCGTCCATGTCCTCTTATGCGTCTAGCTCGACTACCACCTCGTGTCATCTAAACCAAAATATAATAAAATTAAATAACATATAAATATTACATGTTCATTTACATTTGAACTATGCACTAACTATTAGTGCCGTTACCACTATCTCCTATTACTGAATCTGTACTTGAGTCATCATCTATTTCTTCTTCTAACTCAAGTTCATCTTCCATGTCACCATGTTCGCCATCAAGTTCTATCACCCCACCATTTGGGTCATCTAAAGTCAATGGGTCCTCATCTATTTGCACGTGATCATGATTGTTAGTAGTTTCCTCTTGAAATGGTGCAGGTATTAGAGATGCTTCACTAGATATAGATGATTCAGGAACTTCTACATTAGATCTCGCTTTAATTTTGCAAACAGCCCACCAATCAAGCTTGTCACAACGCAAACTTGGGTATGTACAATAATAAACCTGAGCGGCTTGCATTGCTAGAACGAATGGTTCATAGCGATTGAATCTACGCTTATGATTAACTTCAACAAGTTTATACTTGGAATGAACCTTTATGCCGACAGTTGTGGGGTCAAACCACTCACACATGAATAATATTGTCCTCTTGATTGGTAAGCCAGGGTACTCAACTTGTACAACTTCTACCAATTGACCATAATAATCACTTTTATCTATACTATAGTTTATACCTTTTATGCAAACTCCACTATTCAATGTTTCTTTAGCTCCACCATAACCAATGGTGTGAAATTTAAAGCCATTTCACATAACACCCTGAATAGCTGTTGACAGATCTAAGTGGCCCTTTTGCAAGAGCCTTTATAAATTTGTTTGAAATGTTGTTTGAAGGATCATGTGCATGTATAATACATAATATAAGCGTCAAAGTGTGTTAAACAATTTGAAGCTCAATATACATAATATACAAGTCTTACATAGCCATTGAACCAATTTGCAAATTCATTTTCCAATTTACGACCAATGGTAGTACTGGAAATGTTTGGTTGACTCCTCTTTAACTCCTCAGTATAAACCCTTTATAACGCATAGGTTTGAGCACATGGGTTAGTATTTATAACACATGTCATACGAAAAATTGAACAGAAGTGAATTCTTACTCAATAAACGGCTCCACTTCTGAACAATTTAATAACACATAGGTTTGAGCAGCTTTATATTCTTCATCCGTCATATATCTCTCTTTTGTTTTGCCAAATGCTCGACCTAGATACTTGAATATAGAAAGAGTTTCTTCATGTTCATCAACTACATATTCACTATCATCTGCATTTCGAGGCATATTTCTGTGTTTCGTGCTGACGTGGTCTTCAAAATAGTATGAACAGAACGATGATGCTTCTTCGACCAAATATGCATTGGATATAGAGCCCTCGACCTTCGCTTTATTTTTGACATTATTTTTTAATTTTCGAAGGTATCTAAAAAAAATTGACATACATAAGTGAAGATTTTATTATATGTTTGGAAACATATAAAACAACTAATAAAAATTGTACCTCTCAAATGGATACATCCACCTATATTGAACCGGACCAACAATCCTTGCTTCATAAGCTAAGTGGATTGGTAGATGCTTCATGGAATCAAAGAAACTAGGAGGAAATATACGTTCAATTTGACATAGAATGAGAGATATGTCATTCTCAAGCTTCATCATTTCCTCAACTCTAATCGTAGTAGAAGTAAGGTTCTTAAAGAATAAACTCAACTCTGTAAGAACTTTCCAAACATTTAACGGGAGCAACTCACGAAATGCAATTGGTATTAGTCTCTGCATAAACACATGACATTCGTGACTTTTCATACCAAACAACTTCAACTTCTTCATTGTAACACCCCGTGTTACGGCCTTCAATCCCGGATTAATTATTTAATTAATCCCGTTAATAATAATTAAATATGATTTAATTCGGTTAGGTTTCCCTTTAATTAATTAATAAGGTCCACTATGAACCGTGGACCCTTGCCTAAATTAGAGTCTTAAGCCTATTAGGAATAAAGAAAGTAAACCTTTTACTATTTAGATTCTAATTAGGAATCCTAGAGCTAGTTATCTAGTCGGAATAAAGGAAGTAGGCCTTTTACTATTCAGATTAGGATTAGGATTCTCTTTAATTAATTAATATGGTCCACTATGGACCATGGACCCTTATCCCTAAAACAAGTCCTTAGTCCTATAAGGAATGGAATTAGCAAGCCCATGGTATTTAGACCCCAATTATGACTCTTAGGAATATATATATATATATATATATATATATATATATATATATATAAATAGGATCATAGGAGGCACCTAAATCTTCCACCACAATAATCTCTCACCACACCAAGAATTCCAAGAATTCCCCTAGGAGAAATCAAGAAAGAGGAAAGCTTAAAGAAAGACCCTTCATAGCCAAGGAATTAATTAAGGCTAAGAGGTAACCCATGTCTCAACAAAACCTATTTTCATAGCTATGATTCCCCTCTTAGGATTTCCCCCATATTCTTGTGTGTTGATGATTCGTTATAATGATCTTGATAATTGGTGTTATGATTCCATGGGTGATCTTGATGATAAGAGGTTCTTGATGTTCTTGATGATTATATAACGTTCTTGATGCTTATATGATATTCCTACAGAATCTTGATATTAGAAGATGAATTGTGTTCTTGTTAATTTAAAAGTAATTAGAACCCTAGATTATATCGTGGAATTCGTATGATATTATTCATTGGTATATTGGGTGGGAATTCGTATGTTTGGGTGTTAATTATGTTTAGGAAAGCATGATAGGTTATGTGTCGTATGTTTTTGCTTTTGAATCCGTTAACTGTCTACGTGTTGTTGTCAATTGCGTTTGAAAGTGTCTAAGCATGGTCTCGGGTTCCACAATGGTTCCCGGGGCGTTCTTCTGTGATGAAAGAGTCAGTGGGGGGTAGGGGACCCACCACCTACCCGCGGCCAAGATGGGCAACATCGGCAGCGGGCAGCCGGCGGACGGGCAGCTGCCCGCCGGGCACCCGCTGCCCGGAATCACGCCACCGGCGGGTAGCCGGCGGGTGAACCCTCACCCACCAGCTACCCGCTGGAAAATACCCCATCTCGGGATTTTGGCTTCCCCGTTTGATGTTCCCCCAACCCCCGTGGTGTCCCAACGGACTCCGTCTATCGTGCCTATGTCTAGTTTGATATTTCGGGTACCGTTCGTAGGTTGTATGAGTCTTATATATTGCATGCTAGTTGAATTGGTATCCCGTTGACCTAGGTAAAAGGAGTATGTACCCCATAGGATTATTCTTAGTATGTGAAGGATCACGCATAGGTTTTGTTATACGTTTTCCCCCCCTTCCCAATGTGTTAATGTGGGTTGCATGTGCTTGCTATGTGTTATGTGTGTATGATACCCCAATCCGGTTGTGATCGGATTGGTTATTCCTGAGCTGCCGTTCAGAAGCTGGCTGCGGTCAGATTTACACTCTTGGGCTGCGGTCCACCGTTTGGTTGCGATCAAACGTTTCTACATGAGCTGCGGTTCATATTTCCTGGCTGCGACCAAATGACATACTCTTGGGCTGCGGTCCATTGTTTGATTGCGATCAAACACTATGATGAGTTGCGGTTCATCGGTCGGTTGCGATCGACCCCTCCGTGTTGCGATACGGGGCAGGGTGCTGCGGGGCCGTGTCAGAGCTATATGCGCTGTCCCTCATGTATGGGCATGCGATTGGTCCTGTGACGCCAACAAAGTGTGCTTATGTGATGAGATATGGATAAGATGTTGTTATGTGTGTTTTGAGAACGTGGCTATAGGATTTATGCTAGCAACTGTATATGCTTGGTTATGTGCTTGTCTCTATCTATCGTGCCTGTTCTCTATGCTGGAAAACTGTATATGCTTGATATGATTGTTGACTGTGCTCATCCCTATCTGTCGAGTCTATCCCCTGTTTTGAAAGCTAGAGTCTCTTAGGGTATATCTTCATGCTTCGAAATGGTTTTCGTATATCTATGTATATATCTATATGTATTGTATTTCAACGCGTTGGAGTGGGTTACCAGCATCTCTCGCTGAACAGATATATTTGGGTTTCAGGCACAGAGGAGTAGACACTAGAGCGCGCTAGAATCTTGCAGCGTAGAAGTAGATACTTTCCCTTTCGGCCTGCGTGCCATGCTTATGCATTTACATTATTGAGGATATTAGTTAGTTAACCTGTGCACCTGAGTTCTCTTGCTCAGGTGTGGCATAGCACCCTGTACTATTTATATTATGTTTCAGGATTCAATGAGAACTTACCTTTATTATATAAGCTTCAAAAGTTTAAAATTTCGGGGTGTTACAGTTGGTATCAGAGCCTAAGTTTGACCCTAGGATAAGACTTTTAAGACCGGACTTTAGGACATTAGGCTTGAACTCTAGGTATTTAGGAACATAAGGACTCAGGAATCTTAGGGCGCGCGGTGAGATTGTGAAACTTGCCTACCATCACATAACCTCCCCTCACTTTATCCCTCACTAATTTAAAGAACTCCCATTCGCTTACCACACCAAGGTAAGGGTGCAACACATCAACGCATCGTTACAATAAATATTGGCCCTGAACACCAGCAGCATGGCGCTAACAAAAAGTCAGCCAAGGATCCCACACTCCTAGAGGAATGGATCCAAACCTTCAACAAAATCCTCGGGCTAGTGGAATGCCCAGAGGAACGCAGCGTAGAGATAACCTCATTCTACTTCAAGACACGAGGCTGATCTTTGATAAATCCACGAAGAACCCACTTATGGGCAAAAACCGGGGGTTCAACTGGGAATGCCTAGGGGCACGACTACGAGGACGATTCCACCCCGCACCCGTAAGGGCAACCATGTACGAGGAAAGTCTCCACCTAAAAACAAGGGATGACCATTGTCAGGGAATACCACAAACAATTCCTCCAGCTGGCTCGTTTCGCGCCTGGATTAGATCCTACAGAGACAACCAAGATAAAGAAGTCTGTGACAGACCACAAACTACGAAACCCAGAAGGCCCTAATTGTAAGCAAACCCCGAACCCCTAACGAAGCATACACCAGTGCTGCCGACCCCTATCAAATCCAACGTCTACAACGGGAAATTCAGGAACAAACCCAAAGGAAGGAGTAACAGAAGTGGGGGACCACCTGTAAAAGGGACTGGAAACGCCAATTAAATGCAAGGATGTAAAGTAACGCGTAAACAACATCCTTCCTCAACCTTTAGTGCGAATTGTCGAAAAGGACTCGACATGGCAAGAAGAGGCAACGGACGCATGGAAAATATCATACAACTAAAGCCTCCCTGCAATAAAGGTCTTACCTTGGAACAAAGACCTTGATGGTTTTAAAGCACCGTAAGAAGTGCATGTGACACATAAAATCGCCAAAACACCATGCGACGTCGAGGGTAGTCAATCAAATGCATTCCAAGAAAGAGAAATGCATCACCAAGCACTTGGTCACCAAAGGGTTGAATAAAGAGTGAACGACAAGCCGAACTCCAAGGAAAACCAAGAAGGCTTATCATTAATCAAGCAAGGGAAAGACAAAGTCGGCTTATAACCAACTACCCAGTGAAGATGACGAGGTTGCTAATTAGAAACCGGACCCAACCTACTGAGCGGAAAGAACATACGAGAGTCTTGACTCATCTAGAACTCGTGCTTAAGGATCAATAACGCTGTACGATGGGTCATCCTATGTATTCGAACCCCTTTGTTGTGCACATGGGCATGGGGCTTGTCGGGACTTGAATCTGTGCATTCTTGGGATTTTTCCCGAAGGAATTCACTCTTCCTAGTCACCTTCCCGCTGGTCCCCAACGGGACCTTGATGGGACCCTAACGGGTCCTTGACGGGACCTTGACGGGTCCCTGACAGGAGCTTGGCAGGCGGACGACCGCCCACCTCGCGCCCACTGGTACAATGTGTTGATTTCTTAACTCCTCGTTTTATTGATTCGTGGCGCGCTTGTGTGTCTCGGTTGATGAACGCGAGCCTTGGGTAAAGAACCATGGGTTTCCCAAACATGGTGTCCTCGGTAAAAGACCTCGACACACGAAACACCGTCAGAAAAGCACAACCAATTGCATTACACGTGGAGTTGAAGTTGGACTCTACAATGCAACCGACTAGGGATGATTGGCGTGAAGGATTGTGCAAACCAAGGAGGCGAGTTGGGAACTTGTGCTAGGGACTCACAAAGGCCTTAAAAGCCAAAATGCTAAGGATGGACCGGGACCCCTTCAAACCATGGATATCATTCAAGCAAATCAGAGGGCTCCTTACAAGTTGTATGAAATCAAGAATGACGTAGTCCGTGGTGCTAGGAAAAAAGTAAAAGAGCAAATTTGTGCCAAGGCCTCAAGGGTTATTAAGGACCCACAAGGAAATGAGATGACTCGTAAAGTCACCGAGTCATTCCGCAACGAGATTAGGAAACCAACTGCACTTCAAGAAGAAAAAGAGCATGCAAGGGCAACTTCATCATTAAAAGTAACACAAAAGGGCACAACAAGCCGAACCTCGGGGTAGACATGAAGTCTTACTAAGAATTTCATTCACTAAAGA